GTGCGGGGCGCGCGTGCACGTGTGCGTGTGCCTGCCGGGCTGCTGCGCGGCGGGCTGCGAGTGCCCGTGAGACAGACGGCTCTCCCGGCCGGTCCCCTCCCCTGTCCCTCAGCCCCAGCCCGGCCTCTGCCATGCCCTCGCCGGGACCCCCCGAGGGCACTCACCAGTGTCCCCAACATCGCGTCACCGAAATGCTTTCCAGACTTGTCAGGAGGGGGGCTGATGGCTCTGGAGCGAAGTAAATAAAGGCGCCGCACACGCGGGGCGTGTGGCCTGCGGGCTGGGTGTCGCCCCCACAGAAGTGGACTGGCGCGGTCCGCCTGGCTGGAGGAGGAGGAGGAGGAGGAGGAGGAGGTGACTGGCCTCGACGTCTCGGCACCGACCAGTGGGGCGGCGGGGATGCTGTCGGGAGGCCGACTTTGGCTCAGAGGAAGCGGATTTCTCTAGGTATTAAAGCGGTCCAGGAGCTGGACGGGCCACTTGGAAATGAATGAACTCAAACCTAGAAGGACTCTCCTCCTTGGGACCACGTCTTCTGGGATTTCATAGTTCGAAGAATTATATTAGAGATTAAAAAAACAAACAGTTATGTTCTGTGAGGCGAGAGGAAACTGTTTTCCCCTAAATACTCATAAAATGACTCCGTGCCTCTTACTCAGCTAAAGGCAGAGTAATAAATACCCTCCCCCACCTGACACATGGCTGTAAGTGGGCATCTCTCTGGTTTTACAGTGTTGGAGAACTCAACCATGATATTAATTGTGTGAGCAGACATGTAAAATGAGCCTGAAGTTCTGTGAATTAATTAAGGGAAATCAGCTCAAATGAAGGACTATATTGTATCTCAAGATCTCAAGAGAGCTTGCTCACTTACTTGTTCATTCTACAAATATGTCTTGCTTGCCAGGCGTCCAGCTAATGAATACGATTCCTTTTGAGCACTTATGCTTTGAAAATAAAAACAAATGGTTGAGACAAGCTGAAAGCTTTTTGAAAGTGTGCAAAATAATAATTTTTGATTCCTTAAAATGGCTTGCAGCTTTGGGTTTTAACCAAATTGTAAACCAGTGGTTAAACTGCATTTCAGTTTTGCTGTGCAATAAAACACTTGCCTTCGATGTTTTAAAACTAAAATGCTATGTAACTGCTTTACTGCTGAAAGTCCCTCCAAACCTTACAGCTTAAACAACTTCCAGTTCTTAGTAAACACATCTGGGTTTATGAAACACTTTCTGACAGCACATAAATTGTTAACATTGTCTCCTTTCTAGTAAAACGGGAATAAAGACAGCGCTCAGTACTGCTTATTTTCTGTTTGAAAAACAGTGTAGGAGTATTTCCTGGGTGAGCTTGCCATTACCAGAGTTCCATGGAAATACTCACCACGTTCTGTGCAGCATCCTTTGATGCCCATAGTGGCCCAGGGCCAGTGTTTGGCCACTGGACAACTTCTCACCTCTTCCAGATCACCTTTAACAGTCTTCAGTTTGTGGAAGGTCCCAGATACCGAAAACATTAAATAGTGGAGCAAAGCTTACAAACAGGTGCAGATGAAAACAAGAGTTCTTCCCAGATCTCAGCGTTTTGTGAGGAGACACATGTTAATAATTAGTCCAGACTTGGGCTGGGGAGATGGCTCAGTGGGTAAATGGGCCCTACTGTGCAACACTGGTGTGCCAAGTTCTATCCCTGGAACCCAAATAAAGGCGGAAGGACAGAACCCACTCCACAAAGCTGTCCTCTGCCACCTCATACACATCATTTCACACGCACAGTAATTTCAAAAATATTTTAAAGACTAATCCAGGTAAGAGCACTGTCTGCTCTTGCAGAGGACTTGTGTTTGGTTCCTACCCAAATGTGGCTCACAGCCATCTGCAACTCCAGTTCCATGGGATTGACAGCCTCTTCTGACCTCTGAGGATACCTGGTGTACACACGATGCACAGACAGACATGCAGACAAAATATTCATAAACATGAAAATAGGACTGGAGAGATGGCTCAGCAGTTAAGAGCACTGACTGTTCTTCCAGAGGACCTGGGTTCAATTCCCAGCACCCCATGGCAGCTCACAACTGTCTGTAATTCCAGCTACAGGGGATCCAACACCCATACACATGCCCATAAAATAAAATCTTAAAATAAACATGATAATAAATAAAAATTAAAAAATGTAAGTCTAGATTTAATATATGCTGGGATGGGGATAGAGGTGCCAACTATAGCTAATCTTACTGTGTCACTCAGGTAATGTTGCATGTTTAGCATCCTGTACTATATCTCTACTAGTGTAGTTGTGTGGACTTAGTTTGATATTTTCCCTTTCATCCCTTGCTTCACTCAGCTGTCCCAAGTCCAGCAAAGCACCAAGACAGCATGGACCAACCTTGAGGTACCCACAGAGGCTAGAAGAGAGAGCATCATGTCTCCTGGAACTGGTGCCTCAGGTGGGTTGTAGTGGCCTAAGATGGGTGCTGGGAACTGAACCTTGATCCTCAGCAAGAATGGTGGGCACTGTTAAGTGCTGGCAGAGAGTCATTCTTTGGCACTGTAACTTCCAAAGCCAATGTGTGATTGGCTACTTCCGTGCCGACCTTGGATTCTGAGTAAGGTGCCTATACAAAAGTATTCTCTTCTCAGATGCTCCCTCGGGGCTCCTCCTTTTATTCACGGGTGGATCTAGCACCTGGATCTTGCATTATTTTTGCTGCTCAATCCTGCACCATCAGCCTGCACAGTAAGACCTGGTCCTGAGTGCCCATTTCAATTTTTGTCTCCCCCACCCCAGCTTTGTCTGATCTCAGGCTATCAAATTGTGTGGCTGTATCCAAGGTCTCCTCAGGAATGGCTGACCACATCCCAGTGTCTGATTCCAGCACCCATGTATGTTCTGTTCTGCACTTCTGAGACTTCATCTGTCTTCAGATCATGGTATTCTTCATTGACAGTCCACTCTTTAATCCCTCTCTCTCTTGTCTAGCCCAGCTTCCTGGCTCATCTTTATTACCACATTCTTTTTTTTTTTTTTTTTTTTAAAGATTTATTTATTTATTATGTATACAGAAGAGGATGCCAGATCTCATTGCAGATGGTTGAGCCACCATGTGAGTGCTGGGAATTGAACTCAGGACCTCTGGAAGAGCAATCGGTGCTCTTAACCTCTGAGCCATCTCTCCAGCCCTATTACCACATTCTTACAATCCCTTGGTGTGCTTTTCTTCTGCAGCACTTGTCTGCACTAATCCAACTTTTAAAACTGCCAGGTGGTGGTGGCTCACGCCTTTAATCCTAGCACTGGGAAGGCAGAGGCAGGCAGATCTCCATGAGTTCGAGGCCAGCCTGGTCTACAGAGTGAGTTCCAGGACAGCCAAAGCAACTTTAGGGGAGTGTTGGCTCAGTTTGAGAGAGTACAATCCATGACAGGAAAGGCATGGTGGCGGGAGGTTCTGTGATGGCAGGCGTGTGGCAGGCAGCTGCTTGCTCAGAGCTCAGTGGACCAGGAGATACAGCAGCCTAATCATCAGTGACTCACTTCCTCCCACAAGGTGACACCTCCCCAAACACCATCACCAGCTGGGGACCGGATGTTCAAACACACGAGCCAGTGCCAAACACATTGACAGTAACACTGACTAACGCAGCATTCAATGCAAATATCCTATTAAGTTTTCTGCCTCTATTCCCTTTTCCAAGGTTACTAATGGATATCTGCTCTCACCAGATCTCTCATTTTCTTCCATAGACATGTATGAGAGCAGTCGCCACCGCCAGATGAACACTGACTTGCTTGCATTCAAGCTCACACACGCTGGATCTTCCAGGATGCATGTTATGAGCCTTCTTGACCCCAGGTATTAACTAGCTACCTTCTCCGCTTTGACAGCAAAGTGCACAGGCTTGTCTTTGTTCTCTGGTTCTAAAAATCTCACTTCCTGTTTGCTCAATGCACTCCAGCTGAGAACTCTTCCCACTAGTTCATTGCAACGACTTTGACAAGGTCAGAAGATGATATAATAATAATGCATAATATATAATTATTGCCAAAGTCAAATATCGTTATGAGGTTTTCTGTGTAAAAGGTTGACTTCTCCTTTATTCCTTTGGTTGGATTGAGCTTTTCCTACCCTTTCTGTTTCAACATATCTATACCCTCATATATATATTTTTTTAAAATTTTTTGAGAACTTCATACATCTATATCACCTTCCTTCTTCCCCTCCCTCGTCCCATGTCCCCCTCTCAAATTCATGATCTCTTTATTATTGCTGTATGTATATACTTAATATATTAAGCATGTAAATGCACACATGTATACATAACCTACTGAGTCCATTTAATTTTGTTTATATGCACATGTTCAGCCAGGGCTCACTTGTGGGACTGGACAACCTATGCAGGAGAGTTTATCTGGAGGAGACTGATTCTCCCTCTCAGGAGGCCACTGTAGCTTCTCACCTAGAGGTGGGACCCTGTGGAATGACCCTGTTCACAATGGCATGTCAGCCGGTGATGTCATTGTGCTAATCTTGTTCAGGTGGCTATATTGTTGAGATTGTTGAGAACTTACGTGTGATGTTTCTCCATCTTGTATAGGAGATCCTCCCTCACAGCAGATGTTCTAGTCTTCTGGCTCTTACACTCATCCCCCCTCTCCATGACTTTCCCTGAACCTTGGGTGCAGGGGTTGCACTGGGGATGTATTAGTCAGGGTTGGGCACCCCACAATATCTTCATATTTTAAAATGTCTCTGGGTGACATTTGCTTACAGTCTTAGCTACTCAAAAGGCTGAGGCAGGATCATTTGAGCCCACAAGGTCCATACCAACCACCCTGGACAAGTAAGATGGAGCAGCCAGTTCTTCAGACAGGCTAGCCCCTCACAGACGTGTCTAAAGGAAAACACAAGCCATCCTGCCCCAGATGCGTGCTCTAGGCAAGGAGTGGGCCAACCAGTCTGGAGACATTGCTTCACTGTGCACACGGCAGTGGGAACCATTAAAAAGAGCAAGGTCACCGTTCGTTGTTTTCTCTATTTCTGTTCTGTTATGCTGCCTTCAAAAGAGAACTGTCTTAATAGTGAGTCAAGCAGCTTGAATAACGATCACACATACATCTTAGTAATTTTAAAGTTCTCTACTGGCACTTTATATATAGTAATAAAGGTAAATTTTGTCACTATATATACACGCTTTCTTGTGAGTGGGCAGATACTGTGTTGTTCTAAAACACTGACTTCTCACTGTGGGTTGGTGTTACTAGAAAGGCAAGGAAGTCATTGGCCTAGGTAGTAGCTTCATGGTTTTATTCCATAAAAATGACAGCACAGATCCATCCTCAGAGAACAGAATACACTATTTAAAGTTTCAACAGTGTACAAAATTAAAGTTTGGTCTCAGGTTTAACAAGAGCATTATCTTATAAGGCGATTTCTTTCCTTCAGTAAATGACTTACTGGGACAGGGAGAGTACAGTTGGGAAAGTGCTTGCCACACAAGCTGGAGGACCTGAGTTCAGACCCCAGAGCCCCTTTACAGAAAGCTGGGTGTGGTGGCAAGTGCTTATAATTGCAGCACCAGGGAGGAAGAAATGGAGATGGGCAGATCCCTGGAGGTTGCTGGCCACTGCCTACATGGCATGTTCCAGGCCAGATAGGGACCCAGTCACAAAAATGGTGGATGGATGGTGCCTGGGGAACAGCATCCAAGGCTGTCTTCTGGCTGACACACATGTACACACACACACACACACACACACACACACACACACACACACACACAGTATTAAAGTTTGTATTATTCTGGAAGCAAGTCATCTCCTAACTCTTCATCAGCAAAATCATCCTCGTCGATTCTCTTTTTGGCTGCAGTTTTTGGTCTTTCTATTTGAGGGCCCAGTGGATCCACATAGGAGGCATCTAGGTTTCAAAAGAGATCGTGCCATTAGAACAACAGAAAAAAGAAGAAACATGGAAGCAATCTAGACTCAGTCCAAACCCAATGACTCTGAGTGAACAGAAAGGCTCTTCCAAGTCTGTGACCAGTCTGCACATGCCAAATTCTCAGCAGTTCCCCAGGACACACTCGCCCCCTCGGGCTCTTCTGTAGCCCAGCTGTGCTGGAGGAGCTGGGCGGGGACCAGCACTTGCCTATTTCTTTGTTACCGCTACTTTCATAAGGTTCATCTGTCCCAGGCAAAGCTCTGAGCTTGGCACTCAGTCGTTCACTTTTACTACTGGCACTATTGTTCTGGCCACTGTCTGAAAACAAAAATAAAAATGCATTTGTTTAATAAGCCGAGGAATCATGACATCACATTGCACATCTCAAATCATATGTGTTTGCCAAGAAATACGTAGTCTGTTTCATCAGAAGCCAACTTCTGGGGAATGGAATTCATGTTTGAAAGAAACCTCTTGTTGGAAATCCGAACACATAAAATACCACTTGAGCATCTGTGACCTGCAAATGTGTGCTTACTTACAGGTTTCAGTTTTATTTTTACATGTGTTTATTTGTGTATGTGTCTGTGTGCACTTGCCAGGCATACATGTGGAGGTCAGAAGACAACTTGTGGGAGCAGGTTCTCTCCTACTGGACTTTGGGGATTGAACTCAGGTCATCAGGCTTGGTGACAAGTGCCTTTCTGTAGTGGGTGGTTGTTTATATCCTTCCCTGAGGCACCGCCCCAGTGAGGCAGCAGGTAGCTGCTAGGTACCTGCCCCTTGGGCATGGCCACCACGGATCCTTAAGACCTGGGATATACTTATGTGTTCTCTCCACCTCATGGAGTTTGGATGCTGAGACGGACCAGGGCAGAACTCACTAGAGAACCGCTTGGCCCTTGCCTCACCCTTCCAGGATCCTGCTACAGTCCCTTATTTCTGTCTTGTGAGTTAACCCCCAAATAAATTCCTTTGATCACTAAGCTGATTCTGTGGATTGATAGCTATTTAATCACATTACCTTTCCCTTCCCGCGCCACCTTGCTGCCCCTAGGTTTCAGTTTTAGAGAAGCCATAAGAAGCTGACCAGTTGCCCTGAAGATTACTCCTGGGAAGAAAGAGGATCTGAAGGAAGGACAAACGGACGGTGCAAAGCAGCCTCATCTCAAGGCTGGCAAGGTGCCCTGAAGGGCGGCACTAGGCTGTTGTTCACTTTGTTTTTGAGACAGGGTCTCATGTATCTTGGGCTCAGGCTGCCCTTGAACTCAGTAGCTGAGAGGTTTTCCTTCAGTTTCTTATCTTCCTGTCCTCACCTCCCAAGTGCTGGACTGTGTGTGCATGCCACCACACAGGCTTGTTAGCATCTGGAAACTACTGCAGGCTGTCATCTGAAGCCAGGGTGGGCAAGAAGACCTGTGCCATACAAGCACAGTCTTCAAACATCTGAAGAGGGGTGATTTCCTCTGGGTAGTGAGAAAGATTTTAGCTCACCACCAGGCAAAACTCATAAAGAATTGTGGCTGCCAAAAGATAGCACCTATTTGGTGGAAATACTTTGTCAGTCAAGATTTTCAGAGACATCAGGCAGTGGTGTTGTACACCTTTAATCCCAGGACTCCAGAGGCAGAGACAAGCGGATCTCTAAATTTGAGACCAGCCTGGTCTATAGAGTGATACACAGAACTACACAGAGAAACACTGTTTGGGGGCTGGGGGCAGATTTTCAGAGAGTCCTAATACTAACAGTGGTAGAAAATAGCTGTATTTGTTTTCTTTTAACCTACCTCTCCTCTCTCCTCCCTTCCTCCCTCCCTCGCCCCCCCTCCTTCTTCCCTCCTTCCTTCCTTCCTTTCTTTTTTTCCCCCAAGACAGGATTTCTCTGTGTAGCCCTGGAATGCTCTGTAGACTAGGTTGGCTTCAAACTCGGATCCGCCTGCCTCTGCCTCTTAAGTGCTATGATTAAAGGCGTGTGCTCCACCATATTTGGCTTGCTCTAGGCAGTTTTATTTTGTTTTTGTTTTGAGACAGGTACTCATAGTATGATCCTGACTGGCCTAAACTCATTTTTCATCAAGGCTGTCCTTGAACTCACAGAGGTCTTCCTGCCTCTGGGAGAGAGTATTGGGATCAAAGGTAATTCCCAATCATAGAAGATTCAAATCCTGTGAAAAAAAGAAACATTTAAGGAAATGAAACCTCAGCTGGTGTAGTGGTACATGCCTGAAGTTCCAGTTAGGAGTTGAAGATCATACTCAGCTACATAATGAGTTCAAGGTCAGCTTGGACACATGAGACCTTGTCTCAAAAACAAAAAATTACTAGCCAAGCAACCAAACCCTTGACATCCTTTGATAAACTTGATTTGTCCATTTGAAAATGTGGCTGGTGAGGTGGTACCCACCGTCACTGCCAGCACTCCATAGGCAAAGCCGGGTAGATCTGCGTGAGGTCCAGGCTAGACAGAGTTACACAGTGAGACACTGTCTCAAACAAACACATAAATAAATAAATAAATAAATAAATAAATAAATAAATAAATAAATAAATAAATAAATAAATAAATAAATAAATAAATAAATAAATAAATAAATAAATGTCACTGCCAGCACTCCATAGGCAAAGGCAGGTAGATCTGTGTGAGATCCAGGAGTTACAGAGTGAGACACTGTCTCAAAATAAATAAACAAACAAATAAATAAATGGATGAATAAACAAACAAGTAAATAAGTAAATAAGCAAACAAAAAGGAAAAAAAAATGACATAAGTTTCACTGTATTGCTTAGAGTAGTCTCACACTTTTTTTTTTTTTTTTTTGTTTTGTTTTTGTTTTTTGAGACAGGGTTTCTCTGTGTAGTTTTGGAGCCTGTCCTGGATCTCACTCTGTAGACCAGGCTAGCCTCGAACTCATGGAGATTCACCTGCCTTTGCCTATCGAGTGCTGGGATTAAAGGCGTGCACCACCACTGCCCAGATGGTCTCACACTTCTGTGGGGTCAAATTAACCCCCTGCTTCAGCCTCCTGAGTAGCTTGGGCTAGGGCAGATCACCATGCTTGGCTCATACTATAGTCTGAGGGTATGCTATGAATACCATGGGGCACAATAGATTACTAAGTATGAATGAGTCTGGGTGGCTTTTGTGCTTAAATAATGAAAGCGGAGGAGATGGCAGCTCAGTTGGTAAAGTTGTTAGCATTCAGGCATCTGTACTGGTCTGCCCTTAGGGTCCTGACAGGATACATCCTCAGCTGCAGCCACTAAGAGCAGCCCCTGTGTGCATCTGTTCCCTTATAAAAGGCGGGTCCTGCCTGGCTCTGTCTCTTTCTCTTCCCTTCACTCTCATCCCCAGGGACTGGTCTCTGCCCCCTCCTCTCCCCTCCCTCAATAAACCTCCCACGTGGGCCTGTTGTATGGTGTGACTCCTTCCTGCCGTTTTTAAAATGCAACGAAAGTGCTTGCCATGTAGTCATGAGTGCTGACTCCATTCCCTAGAATCCACATTTAAAATGCCATGGTGTGGTCTCACATGTCTTTAGTCTCAGCAGTGGGGAGACAGAGGCAGGCAGATCTCTGAGTTTGAGGCCAGCCTCAAACTACAGAGCAAGTTCTAGGATAGCCAGGGCTATACAGAGAGACCCTGTCTCTAAAATTAAAAAAGTAAATGAAGAAACAAGAAAGAAAAGAAAAGAAAACAAGAGTTAGTAGGCCCACGCCTGCAATCCCGGCAGTGGGGAGGTAGGGTCAGAAGGATCTCTGGGGCTCACTGGCCAGCCAGCCTAGCCTAGTTGGCAGACTCCAGGCCAATGAAAGATCATGTCTCAAAAACAAGATGGATAGCTTCTGAAGACAATCCTAAACTTGAGCTGTGGTCTCTGCATATGTGTACACACAGAGGTGTACATACACGCATGCACACAAATAATAAAATCAAATCACTTGCAATTATATACTCATTTCACTATATTAAAAACCAGTATAGTTACTGAGGGAAATCATATAGTAAGTTCAGGAAGCAGCCCTTCCTTTCTGTGGGCATGGTTGGAGAGGCAGAACCTCCGGACGGAAGATGGACGCAACACTCTCACCTCACCCTGACACCAGAGCCTCCACCAACCTGTCTTCTGACTACCAGGGACCAACAGGCAGAGAACCTCTGACATCTACCCCATTGTTCACCCGCCAGTCCTGCACCTTGCTTCCATGGCCTCCACGGTCCTGCGTGTCCACTTTTGCAGTTGACCTAACCTTGTGTCTTGTTTCTGCAGAGGAAGAGTTTCAGGAAGCTTCTCCAACAGGGTTCTTTATCTACCCCTGCCTCTCCCCACAGACTCTTTGCATCTCTATCAGCCTTCTGCCTCTGCCTCTAGGAAAGCCTCTTTGAACTCTGTTGTGACTTCCATAACTCTTTTGTAGTTGTCCTGTAACCTACATATACATACATGTAGACAAGATTACTGTGTGACATGCAACTGTGACTTGAGAGTTAATGTTAGTAGGCTAAGACAGGGATAAAAGAACTTATGTTTGCCTCAGGCAGCTATCAAGGGAATTCAGAGGACCTGGAAGATTGCAATCAGCATAACTGATGTGAACTTGCCATTCAATTCTGACATTGTGGAAAGACACACGTGTCCATCTATGTTTCTTTATGAAAACATAGTGCACCCATGACAGTAACCCCGAAACCCAGGCTTCCTGCATGCCACCCGGATTCATGCAGCATATAGTGATAGCTGTCTGGCTGAGCGGAGGGATACAGCATGGCACGTGGCCCTTCTTTATATGCATATCCCCAGCTTCTGCAGTTCCAGCTCAATAATCTGGTGGACTCTACAAAACGTGGCTGTCTCAGTTACAGTAGCTGAACATTTGGACAAACTAATCATGTACTCTTTCTCCGAACTCAATCCAGCTCCAACTCTGGAACAGCACTGGCTTCCTGGCCCTTACGGGCAAGGCTGCTGTCTCAGGAATGCTCACAGAAGCTCACAGCAGTTCTTGGTACTGACTCTATCCTGTCCTGGTGACCAATTGTAACATTTTAATGTTATTGTTTTTACATATGCACTCCCCCCCCCCCCCGCCCGTGACAAGATGATCCTTAAAACCATTTCTTAGATTATTTAATTTTAGGCACAGGAGTGTTTTGCCTGTGTGTATGTATGTGCACTTCGTGAATGCCTGATGTCTGTGAAGTGCTGTGGGATGTCCTGTATGACATATGTGAATATATGTTGCTACGACTGAATGATAAATAAGATGCTGATTGGCCAGTAGCCAGGCAGGAAGGATAGTGTAGGCGGGACAAGAAGAGA